AGCAAGAGACAAAGTGGTTTAAAGAGCTCAGGAAAAAAAAAAAAAAAAAAAAAAAAAAGAACAAGTAGTTGACTGCTTTTTCCTGGTTTCATAGCCCATTTCTCAAATGTCTCTTCAAATCTGCATTATGTGGTTGAAAAGAGTACAAGTTAAAGGAAATGCAAAGCTATTATACAAAACTAGAGGAATTACAGTTAAGCCGGGTGCACACTGTACAATCTTGGCCACAATTTGACAATCTGAGACAAATTTTGGAAATCCTACAAGATTCCTTTGCTCCTAGGCCAAAATCTGTAGTCTTGATTGCTATTTTGACGTGTTTGCCAACAGCCGATTCATGACAATTGCAATTCATGACCTCCGATGAAATACTGCCAGAGTCAGACGCTCTGAGGCAGTCTTGCAGTATGGCTTCTCCTATGACAACCGTCAAATCAAGAACCATTGGGAGCACAGACAAAACACCACTTTATCCAAACACATCATCTTTGTTTTTTTCCATTTTTCTTTTCAAGACAAGCCATGATCAAAATTAACGCTAGATTTTTAACACTAGTTTTTGTTTGCTAGCCAACATTCCAATTCTGCGTGTGAATGAGGATCATTGGCACTGAATGTCTCATGGATTGATGATGTAAAACTCAGGATGAGTCTTCTGGCATATGTCCTTTTTAGACAAGGCTTGACTGTAATACAGTCTGCATTAATGACAATTGAGATCCCGGTGTAACATGGCTTATAGCTGGGAATCGGGATCATGTTCAAACAGTCTGACAAGCAACAATCGTAAGGATTATAATAAATCTTGTGTGTATCTGTATTTATAGATGAATGAATGAACAAAAGTGACAAATTGTTGGAAGAAAGCAGAAGGAAGGCAAACCTCTATGTGCCTCACGGAGTGATGACATCACCACAGTGGCCCACTCCTGTGCTTCTTGCTCACAGCGGAAGTTGAAAGTGATACGATCATGTGGTGGTGTTGCCAAACTCAGTTCATGGCACTGTGGGGATCTGACTTCATAGCAAACAGTCTTGAGATCAAACTCAGCAATGGACTGAATGAACATAAACAGAGAGACACAAAATCTAATGGAGTTAATTTACTTAAACATAACTCATTGATTTCACTACTAAAACAATGTAGTCCAGGAATTATCCTTTTCTCACAAGCAAATAAAAGACCTAGCCTATTTAAAACCTATTATCATCTACTAACTTAAAATGAGGCATTTTTTTCAGTTATTATGAGCCGTCAGCCTGTCACATATTTTCATTAAATTGTCGTTATTGTTTTATCTGGTTATATTCATCATTGGGTAGCCTACACAAGAGCTATCTTTTCAAAACAACATTTTCAGGATCATGAGTGTAATGAGGTTTCAAAGAGACAGCAGGACTCAAATGCAAAATAAAATAATATTACTTCTGTTTGGCATCTTAGACCCTGGGTATAATAGATAAATGCAATGAATTTGATACACAAACTGTAGTAGTGCACTACCCCTGGATATCTAATTAGTCATAATGTCCCCAAATAACACAATCCTAGACAACAACCCCGTTTGAAAGTGCATGTCTACTTTGTTGCAAACCAGAAGGATACCGAATTAAATATTAAACGTACTTGAAATTAAAGAGGTTTAACTATTTTTATTATTATTATTATTTTACATTCATGTATACACAAATAATAACGAAGTTCATATCAATTGATTCACATGAGGTAGTTCCACTTTCTTTCTTTTTCAGTCTATTACAGCAAATAAAAGTATCAGTGCTGACCAGAAGTATTATTGCGTCATCTAATATCAAATACGTATAGGTATCGTGAAGAGCATTAAGTGTATTTATGACGCAACTCTGGGCAAACTATTAAATTTAGGGGGTGGAGGATGGATTTTAAAAACAAAGACCAGCAAAACAACATGTGATTCACTCATGTGCTCGCCAGAGGGCAGCGCTATGTTATGCCTAGCGCAGATACACTTCTGGAATGAAAATACTACTATGTTGCGCTTTTCACCAGTTTTCACCATCAACTCTTCACCAGTATTCATAGCACCGCAGACTGAAACTGAACGCAAGTTCGACATTTCCTCACCACGCTGCGCCCAGCCGCGGCTCCGCTGATGTCCCGTAACGCGAGGCGGAATTCCCCTGCCTTCCCCGGGTCCATGCTCAGCTGAAGACGGAGAGACTCGTCTCCGGCCCCCGGGAGACAAAGCGGTCGTATACCTGAGTGGCATACTGACACCTTCACCGACATCAAAACAGTGCTGCAGGCCGACTGTGAGGCCTCCTGGCCGAGATGAGACGATGCAGACTGGGCCGGCGGAGGTGTGTGAGTCCACCCGCCTGAGCTCAGCGACATGCCGCCGCCGAGTGACTACTTCAGGCGGGAATATGTCGTGTTGACACTCCAGTACCAGCCGGGCTTGTGTGCTAATACGATGTTTGGAGATATGCTACGACTCCCTGATCCGACTTACGCAAAAGTAGCGGCCTTGTCATCTTTGTTTTAGTTTCCGAAGGAGGGCAGCCCAGCGTCAGAGCAGGAAGAAACACGGCTCAAGCAGAGACAGACATTTTACACTGAGAGCAGACGGTGCGCCTCCTGCCGAAAACACACTCACATACACTCTTTCTCATTCTAGGGAGAAGGGTGTTCCTGCACAACCGGAGGCTGCAGTTTCAGGACCGCAGTTCTAGGACCCTATTCTTTTGTAACAGCAGGGAGGGAGGGAGAATTAAATAAGAAACATTTGCTTTAACATGTTTAACTCTGTAATATATATTTCTGATTTAACACTTATGCACTGTTGGGTTATAAAATAAAACTTAATTGAAAATCGGTAAAGTTACTCACTCTTATTGCTGTCCATGTCGTCCATCTTTAGTGGTCCAATTCGGTAGGTGGCGCTGTTACAAAAGAATAGGGTCCTAGAACTGCGGTCCTGCAGCCTCCGGTTGTGCAGGAACATGCTTTTGATTCTAGGGGATATCCCAATTTTCCATGTCAATCTTAAATTTCATCTCATGAAACTGTAACTGTAATGTAACTGTGGTGATGTTAACTGTCGTTACAGTTAATTGATTGCACAAAAATACTGTTTAGGCTGGTTAGGCTGTGGCTTACTGTGCTTTTATGTTCTTACTAATTTAATTTAGTAATTTAGTTTAATTAAACCTTATATCACAGTTAAACCACGAAGAGTGTAGTAGAATCATGGTAAATATGTTGGATGGTTTTACTATTGTTTTATATTCAATAATAATAATAATAATAACATACTTAAACTATCGCTACTGTAGCAAAACCATTCATGTCCCACTGGTTTGTTCCATTTATCCATTTGCAGGCTAGATTGTATACAAAACAGTAACATTTATTGATTTATTTACAAAATATGATATCATATTTACTCTTAGATTTTTTTTTTTTTTTTGATAATCCGAGAAAATGTTGATTAAAACACGCATGTATAAATAAATGAATGAATAAATAAATAGATCCTCTCTCTATTCAGGCACTTGCACTTTACACATGAACTGGGGGCTACGTCCTAATTGTCACGTCCCACTAAAAGTGGATCGAATTACCACTTAACATTTTATACACCTTCTCAAAACATCATATCTGCTTCTAACTATGCATAAATCCTCGGCATACAATGCCTAAATAATCTGTCTATCTGTGTAAATTTTAACATTTAACATTTTTTTCCACTGCACAAAAAAAAAATAAACACTTTGCAAAGAATTTATAAAAGGGTCAATCGCTCTTTGGACATGATTTAAAGGGGTCATATGATGTTGCTAAAAAGAACATTATTTTGTGTATTTGGTGTAATGCAACGTGTTTATGCGGTTTAAGGTTAAAAAAACACATTATTTTCCATATACTGTACATTATTGTTTCTGCTCTATGCCCCGCCTTTCTGAAACGCGTCGATTTTTACAAAGCTAATCGTTCTGAAAAGCGAGGTGTGCTCTGATTGGCCAGCCATACAGTGTGTTGTGATTGGCTGAATACCGCTAGCGTGTGATGGAAATGTTACACCCCTTACCATACTGTGTCTCCGTGTGTCCCGGCGCAATGAGACAAAACCAATAAAACCCATTACAAACGAGGCATTTGTAGCATCCAGTGGGGACATAATTACTGATTATAATGACTTATACTGTGTTTTTACGCTTTGC